TCGCCGGCTCCTTTGCGCTTACCGTGCTGGCCATCTCCCTCCTGACCTTCACGGGCTGGTTTGCCGCCCTCTACCTTGGCTGGATCCCCGACTCCTGGCTCCCGTCGGAGCAGACTGCCACGGGGAAGGTGTCTCCCTTCGTCTTGGCACTGACTTTAGGAGTCTCGACGATGGTTGTGGCGTGCCCGTGCGCCATGGGGCTGGCCGCGCCCACTGCCACTATGGTGGGCACGGGAGTAGGGGCGGCAAACGGTGTTTTAATCAAGGGCGGGGAGGCCTTGGAAAAGGCGTACCGGCTATCGGCAGTTGTGTTCGATAAAACGGGGACCCTGACGCAGGGGCAGCTGGCAGTGGACCGGTACGTGCTGTTGGAGGACGAGACAGAGGAGGAGCAGGAGGGCCGAGGGGAAGGGGTGCTAGCAGCTGCTTCTTCTTCCTTGTTTGCTTCCACCGTGTGGGCTGTGCCTAGTGCTGAAAGAGGCTCGGAGCATCCCGTGGCGAAATGCATTGTGCGGTACTATTCCTCGCTTGCCTCCTCCTTCTCGCCATCGTCGTCTCCACCTTCTTCCGTCCCTCTTCGTGTCCCTGCTTTCTTTCCACCTCTGGTGGAGCCTCAAGACTTTCATGCCTTCTCAGGAAAAGGCCTTCTCTGTCGCGTCGGCAAGCGCAAAGTTGCCGTTGGTACACGGGCATGGCTTGCAGAAGTCCACGCTTTGCCTCCCTCTCCAGCTGCACTTAAAGCGGCCAAGGACGCCGAAACCCGAGGAAAAAATGTGGTATGGGCCGCCTTCGATGGAAAGATCGCCGCTCGGATCGAGATACTCGACCAACCTCGTCCTGAGGCGGAGGCTGTCGTTCAGGCCCTGACCGACTTGCTCAAGCTAGAGGTTTACATGGTGAGTGGCGACAATGCGAGGACGGCGTCGACCGTAGCGCGAGGACTGCGAATCCCTCCCTCCCACGTCATGGCAGAGACACTGCCTTCCAACAAGGTGGCGAAAATAAAGGATTTGCAAAGCCGTGGGCACGTGGTGGCAATGGTCGGCGATGTAAATAAATAAATAAATAAATGACGCGCCAGCCTTGGCGCAAGCAGACGTGGGCTAGGCCATCGGCGCGGGGGTAGAGGTAGCTCAAGAGGCGGCGGATATGGTGCTTATCAAATCTGACCTGAGAGGTGTCCTGATGGCCATCCATTTGTCGAGAGCTATTGTCCGTCGCATATATTTGAACTTGGTCTGGGCCTTGTTATACAACGTGGTGAGCATTCCTTTGGCTGCAGGCTTACTATTGCCCTGGCTGCACACTGCGATCCCGCCATACATTGCAGGGGCAGCTATGGCTCTTTCCAGTGTCTCTGTGCTAGCGAGCTCCCTAGACTTGAAGCGCTACAAGCCGCCTAACGTCGTAAATGGTGCTCCGGAGGACATGGAATGCCTCATCGGGGGAAAAGGCCGACAGAATATGGATGCAGGGATTTGGCGACAGGAGAATGACACATTAGGTTTGCTAGCTTATCAAGCGCACAGAGAGAGAAGTTACGGAGGAATTTGATTAGTCGTGCCATTTTTCGAAATCAGAGGTTGATTACGCAGCCAGTCAAAGCCAACATAGGTATCTAATTGTTATTTGGGAAGCAACGATGCGTAACAGCACGGAATTCTATCTTTGGAGGAGCGTATCAGAGGGAGATGAGATGTAGAGACTTATTTTGCACTAAATAGCACTCAAAATTCAAAGTAGGAATTCTCGATCTTATCGAAATTTCAATTTCAATCTATGCGTTATTACTCATAACATGCTTGCCATCCCATGAAAAAGACATCAACGACTGTCACAATCAATGGCGGGTTTTGAGTCTAGAAGCATCAATCATCCGACAGTTCACGTGGACTTGCTCCCTGAAATTTACGGGGCGTGCTTTTTGTCTCATATGAAAACTAGATGGATACTCTCACACCACAGATTTTGAGTCTTGATACTCATCCACCTCACGTACTCTGAATCTCATTACTTGTAGAAAAACCTTTAAGAGAGGGGCTGAAAAATGTAATTCTGTCGGAATATGGTAGAGTCGTACAATGCTGATCAAGGAGTATCTTCATAATATACTGAAGTTATGAATACCCTGGTAATTCCTTTATGAAAGAACGTTGCTTTAATTCATTCAGTAACATGTTCGTCTTGTCGTCTTATCAGTGGTCATTTGTATTGTCTTACCACAAGCTGTTGATATCAGTATAGACGCCTGTCGCTATGTACGGCTTGTCAGATCTTTCAAGGAGTGAGCAGCACATCTTGTATACATACTGAGATGTTCTCAACATATCAGTCGAGTACAAGTAATCAAACAATTATCTTAATTCAATTAGAATAGAGTTCGATACACTTGACCGCTATGCTAAGAGTCGCAAAGACTTGACGAGCACCTAGTCATCATCAGATTTCGAGGTATCATTTCTTCGGACCTGTCAAACCTCAAACGAAGTCATGACTTGCGGGTTCTCCGGAATGCGTTCTTTGAGTCTAGATGCCTTTATTTTTCGTCGATATCTTCCACCTCAAAGAAAGACCAGAGCGCTTGCATCAAAATGCTAGAAATCGATATAATTCTAAAATCCCTTTTACCTCCTTCGATGCCTTATAGCACGAAAAATTAAATAATCTTGCTCCTTCATCTCCTCTCAAACATGATTACATGCCTTAAAATCTTAAAACTTTACGTCGGGTGAGTCTATTTGCTAAAAGGTATTTCGAGATTCGCAGAGGCTTTACGCATTAAATGGAACGTACACCCACTATTTATCCCTCTACTGATAACATCATCCCACGCTATTTAACGACTCTGACTGATTCTCTCGTTCTTGGTCTGCAAGTCCAATAACTCGAGGTAGAAGTATCCCATCTTATCTGATCATCCCAGCTTTAAACCCTCGCTCACCTAGCCTGAGGTGAACAGTGAGTTGCGAGAAAACACATCTTATTCACGATTTTGCGACCGGAAACCTTCTCGAAAAGAACACGAACAACATAAGAAGCATCGTGTCATAGAATTTTGAAGTGGTGATGTGCATAGTTGCACGCAGGGTTTCACCATGAAACAGACAGCCGAGCCAAATCAGCACCCCTCTATGAGTAGGATGTTTTTCTGGGTATACTCGGCCTCTGGTGCGCTGCCATTCTTAACATATCGTCATTTATAATAAAACTAATGCATGGGCGGTGATGGGACTGCATATGTGTGTTCTTGCGAATGTGTGGGCATGATTGGTTGAGGACGGAAAAGGGGTTGCTGACCCTTGAGGAAAGCCCACAGTGAAGTCAAATTGAAGGAACACTTAGGGACGCCATCAGATCTTTCGTCTAGCCACTAGAAGACCAGAACAAGATGCATAGAGCTTATGTGCTCAACATTCATTCATGAAGCGTCTTTGAGGAAATGAACTATTTACAGCGCAAAATTGAATCCAATGGTGTTGATAACATTGTCTAGTGTAACCCCCGAATGTTCACAAGACTACTCCCGAGATTCACCGAATGCCTCCTGAACTTCTTTCAAATCCTCCCGAGCTCCGAGATATAAGACCCATTCTACAGCATCTCTCGTGACACTCATGAAAAAAGGTATGAATCGACCTCATTGCCCTTCGAAACATATTTGCTCGCTCGCAACAGATTCGAGAAAAGATTTTCTGGCGAATCATGTGAGTCCCGCGTTGTTGAAAATACTCCGGAGATTCGCCGAAGCGGCACAACATTTTGCAGATGGATAGATTCTACAGAAATTCTTTCGAATTCTCCCGAGCTTGATTTAAGACACCGCACAACAAGGACTAGGCGGGGTTTCTCTTTCAAAACCTTCATACACATGTATTGCCAGAGCTTCGATAGGTTTTGTAGACAATGAAACGTGTTGAGAAGTGTTCGAAGTCGACGTGCTTCAATTACCATAAAGTTGTAAATCCTGAAAGCATCACAAAGCTTCTTGCTTTTGCAAAGTACCTGCTAATTAAATAAGTCCCTCAACTCATCACTTTATCTAGAACATTTTCGCGGAGAACTCACCGAAGCCTTTCGAAACTGTGTCTTACGAAATTATTTCCTCTTATCAAGTAGGATGAATGGCATGTACACGGGCTTTCAGAAAGAAGACTCATTCGTTGAAAAATTATTTCTTTTCCAATTCATTACTCTTCAACCAACAGAGAAGCGTCCTTCTGAGAGCCAGCCGCAAGACACACCATTGTAGCTTGGACACATGCGTCTTGCCTTTATCTCCTTCAGTATTGTCCTCCTGACGTTGTCGAGCATTAAACTCGCAGCCCCCCAAGCATGTCCGCGCCTTTTAATGAAAGCGAAATCACGCTTAAATGCGAAGCGCAGTATTTCGCTCTCGAAAGCCAAAGTCAAGATTACTGTCACTCTTGGCACGAGAGACCCCGTCCATAACCTAGATTTTATGTTGACTCTGCCGAATGGACTAATTGTTGAAAAGACCGCCAGCGGTCCGTCCTCCAAATTCCATGCACCGGCTGAGATCATTCAAAGCCTTGATGGTACCACCAACGTTTACTGGCCTACAATTAAACTTGGCAAAAATCGAATGCGACGATTCCGAGCGAAGGTCAAAGTTGACGAGTGTGCTTCTGAGACATTTGTTGTGGATGCGTTGGCTTACCTTGCCAACGCAACATCCGTCTCCTGCATGACAAGGTTAGCAAGTCCAGCACAAGTAAAAGTGCGATATTCGAAGCTGAAGCGAAAAATGACATGCGCTCCGACGCCAGCTCCCTCGATCGATCCTGCGGAACCGTTCCTCCTTTTTGCACGACAACAACGTTTCTCGCAAGGAAGCCGACCTGCGCCGTTTGAGGATCGCCGTCGATCTTTGCTTGCTGGACTTCACAATGAAACAGGCTTCTTGCCGGCGATAGAAAGCGAAGTCTGGAAGCGACAAAGAATTTCCACGCCGAAAGATTGCTACGAATATTGCTCGCTGACAGGAAATGAGCTTGTGCCTTTCTTCTTCAACTGGAAGACTGCGACAGATGAGTGCTTCTGCTGCACGGACACGTGCACCCCCTTTATCTTTGATCCCGGATATGACATGTACGAAGTGAATGTCGCGGCGACCGCGGTACCAACCTCAGCTCCTATGATATTTACACCGTCTCCAACGCCATCTTTCCTTTTGATGATTCCCACGCCCGGAGGGCGAGGGGTTGTTGTTGGAATCGGGAATTCTGCAGAGAATACTACCAGCGGGAGCATTCAGTTTGCGAATGTCATCAGCCCGGGTATCACGGTAAGCAGACTTCGATGACAATGATGAACGACACGTCAGGGATAGATGTACAATAAATAAGGGCTCATATTTTGTGAAAAAAGAATCAGAATGATAGTACCCATGGAGTATGAGACATTGAAATCCCTGCATCTTCTATCGTCCTTCCCACATACGTAGACCGTCAGAACCGTGATTCCCGACACCTTGGATCCGCTATTTGTGCCCCCCACCGGGTTTTCGCTTGGATATCCATCAACTTACAAGTTCATCAACACCACTGCGACTTTTGACGGAGATGTAGCCCTGTGTCTGTCATACTCTCAATCTGCTTTCCCCACGGGTACGAGGCCTCGCCTTTTCCACTTCATCAACGACGCGTGGGAGGATGTAACAACGGACGTGTATTCGGAAACTGATCTGTTGTGTGGTAGAGTGACATCCTTCAGTCCGTTTGCGCTTGGAATACCACCCTCCACCATGGCGCCTACGACACACCCGACGGTAGCTCCGACCATGGCGCCTACGACCTCCCCCTCGTTTGCTATGGGCGCTACAGGCGCGGCGGGTGCCACGGGTAACACGGGTAACACGGGTGCTACGGGTGCTACGGGTGCGACGGGCGCAATGGGCACTACCGGTGCCTCGGGTGCCACAGGTAGCACGGGTGCTACGGGTGCGACGGGTGACACGGGCACTACCGGTGCCACGGGTGCCACAGGTAGCACGGGTGCGACGGGCGCAATGGGCACTACCGGTGCCACGGGTACCACAGGT